AGAGTCTCCCACATTTCTTCTGGCAAACTTTGGTCAAGATTCTTTCAGCACAGTTGTTGTATGCACAGTCTCTCCTATCTCGGCCACTGAAGCTTATAATTCTTGGTGGTCTCCCTCAGTAGTCTCTTGCATGTTCACTTAGTGTTTGAGGGTGGATTGCCCTTGGCAGATTGTTGCATGTGCCATATTTCTTCTATTTCTTAATGATGGTTTTAACTGTACTCCAAGGAAGATTTTGTCTTTTTAATCCATCCCCTAGCCGAGCCTTTCTGACAGCATAAATGTGACATTTAAAATGTGTGGATGATTCACTTTGTTAAGTTGTGTTTAGGATTCATTGTGCAAGGAAAAAACTAAAAAGGTGTCGATCCAAAAAGGGGTTAAGGAAGATGCTTCTTTTCTGGCTATGACAGTGCCAGGAAAAATGTTAGAAGAGATTCAAGAAGCAATGTGACAAGCTTATTCACAAACAGTTTTATTGTTTAATGTCCTAAATTACTGTGCTCTCACGAGTCCAAAGTGCAGTGTATGTAAAATCTTGATGGAGATTGGTGCCAGAAAATATGTCAAATTTCAATAGAAATTGACTATGTTAAAAGGATAAATTTAAATCATTCTTTTCCCCAGCAATTTGTACAACATATGCATCAATATAGCACCCTTGCTGCTACCTGAAAGCCTCCCTGTCAGAATTAAGAATTCTAATGTGGAAGTACATGCACTGGAACCAATGCCATGGTAATTTGATTGAGAAAGTTTGTATAGAAGACTGAAGGTTGGTAGATAGAGGGATGTAATGCAGAGAAAAGGTTGTAGAGAACATAATCACACCAGTTTCTGCATAGATTTAATCAAGTTGTTTATGTTAATACAACAAGAAGGCAATGAAGAACTTTAAGTATTGATGTTTAGTCTTAAACCACTGGAAAACTGTGGGGTGTGTCTCCCTCTAGTGGGCTGTTACGGTTTAACTCAGGGGACAACAAATGTCGAAATTAGTTATTTTGCTGACAGAATAGATGCAACAGTATGTATAGATATTAAAGGAACACTCAGATCCACCTAGGCCAGTCGTAGCCCCACATTAACAAGGTGGTTTGCTCAAAATAACCTACATCAACCTGCTTCATCAGCTGTCCGATAAATCTAAAATATAAAAAATACAGTCCATTTCAGGCTTCAGCGGTTGGCACTGTATGCAAACCGGTCAAAAAACGTGCTGCTGAGTGGTCGCTAACCAATACTCTAGTGCAGGAAAACTACATCTGACAGACCCAGTATCGTTCATAGTCACAGCCCTCATCGTTCCACTCTGCTTTCTTTCCTCCACGGCGCCAGATCTCCGCACAGTCCTGGTTCCTCCCGTCATAGCTGTTTGGTTGGCCGCTACCCCAGAACCTACAGAGTGAGGAGACACATGCAGCATTAGACTAAAAACGGCCCTTTCCTTGGACTAATGGAGTCGACATCTGGTGGAATTTTTACTGTTTTGCATATAAACAAATATGTGTCTAGTTTCTTACGGTGTGGTCAGCTCGGTGCCATCGACCCATTTCCACACGTCTTCTGTTCCTTTATCAGTCAGTCCAATCCAGATTTCCTTGTCACTGTGAAACAAGCCATTGACAAAGTCCTATGAAAGAAGAGACATAGAGTTACTGCACTACTGACCTGTCATACATAGTTATGGATGAGGTTTAATGGAAGAAGTGGAGCAAAATATACATATCATTCTTGGCTAACAATGGATGAAGCATGTGGTACAAAGTGAGTGACTACCTCGTTAACACAGTGGAGGATTGAGCAGCTATATTTTCCTCAAGACTGGTAGAGACCAAAGTCAGAGCTAAAATAGACCATTGAATGCTAAACTTACATTTGCGAGCTTGCCATGTAAACTTAAAATGTTAAAAAAAAAAGACAGCCAGAAAGTTATAACTTATTCTCTGTTTACTTGTCATTCATTAAACCAAAACTATGAGCAGAAAGATACAAAAGAACACTTTGGTATCTCTGAAAATGTGTTTAGTGCAGTTTAAACAAAACGTAAGGGCCCTAAATGAATATGGTGACACATACAGTGATGCATATAAAGAGGAATTTACGCAGATAAACACACCAGTTCATCTCGGGTCTTTGTGACTGTCAGGTCTGCGTTTTTGCCTTTACAGAATGATCTGGCCGCTTCCCAGCTTTTCTTGCTCACAGAAACATAGTAGCAGCTGTCCTGGAACTTCATCCAGCCGGTGGGGCACTTCTTCTCTGTAAATGTAAGATAATTGTTGATCAAGAATTATAGTGATTTTTAAAGTGGTGTTTTGGATAATTGGATTTGTTTTCCATCAAACAGCATGGCTCCTCAGGATTTAGCCAACCACATGCAATTTTCCTTTAGAGGAAAAATGTTCATGTTTTTAAAAACATTTCTATCTACTTACCTCGAATGGCTGTGTTCAATTTGTTAACTTTGTCCAGCACCTCGTCTCTCTCAGCAGTCAGATTGTTGTTTATCACCTTCAGCCGGTCTCTTTCCATGGTTACATTCTTCAAGTTGCTTTCAAGCTCGTTTTTTTCCTGAAGCAGTGACGCGTAAGAAACCTTCAAATCACTTTCAGCCTTTTTAATTAAGTCATAAGAGGCCTGCAGGGTGTCCTTTATTGTCGTCAGGTTTTGGTGACTGCTTGCTAGCTTGTCTTTCTCGCTGACAGAGACGTTATATCTGTCCTGTAAATGTCCTACTTTCCCAGCAAAGTCATTGTAACTTAACTGCAGCTGCTCTTTGGCTCTGGTTACGTTATTGAACTTGTTCTGTAAGTTGTTCCTCTCCCTGGTGGTTGAGTCGTGAGCGGTCTGTAATTCGTTTTTGTGTCTGAGAACTGAATCATACTGTTTTCTTAACTGGTTGTTGGCTGTACTCAAGGCGCTGGTGTTTGCCTGGAGCTGGTCTTTAGAGGCTTTTACCTGTTCTAACTCTTTATTTAAAGCATCGTTGCTGGCCTGTAACTGGCTTTGACTAAGTTTCAGTGTGTTTGTTTCCTGAGTCAGTTGGTAGTTACTGCTCTGCAGTTGGTCTCTCTTTTGCAATAAGTTGTCGGAATTTTGCTGTAACTGAGCGTAGTTGGCTTCCAGATCTTTCTTCTGTTTCTGCGCTGCGTTCAGGTTCTGTTGCAGGTCCTCTTTCCACTGACTTAAGACTTTTAAATTGTTCTGACGATGTTGTGCTACATTTTGATCTGAGGAAGAAATGAGATAACAGATGAATCAGCGAATTTATCACAATATCGATGCAATGTTGAATGTTCGACGGAGAAAACAAACAGGTAAGACTCACGGTGCACACTTTGACCTATGACCCCAGCCAGCAGGAGGACAGCGAGCAACCCAAGGCAAACTGCAGCAACCTTGAAAGGGTTATTTCTCAACGCATAAACTGAAAAATAGCAAGAAAAGCGGAAACAAAACTAAAAAATTGATGAAGTGATTTGAGGAACATGTGGTTACAATGAGTCGTGCTGCAAAATACTAAACAAAACAGTTTGTGCATTCGTCATTTCATGCAAAATACACTAAGTAATTAATATTAAGTAACACGCATAATTCATTGTCATTGTTAGTAGTAGGCAATACATGCAGTGATTTCCAACATTTTGTCATAGAAAAGGCTGAAGTTATAATTATAGCTTTATTTGTTAAAGTGCTTTTCCAGTATTTTTACTATGTCCTGGCAAAATTTGAATTAAAAATTTAAGAGCAACACAAGTGAAATTTGTTTAGTAATATTAGTTTTTTTGTCCCCTTGTGCAATGGACCAAACACAACATGGTAACCAATAAACAATCATCTTTTAAAACATTGTACTGACAGGGAGCAACAATGAAAAAAAGGTTTGTGAATTGAAACACACTTTATGTTGTTTTGTGTAAATAAGAAACTCTTTGCCAAGGTGATAGTATAATAGTGTCATAATATATGACAATGGAGGAAATCATTTCTTTTCTCCAACATGCAGAATGACCAGCAAGTATAAGCATTTCTCATTTCTGTTGACGAGAGCAGCAAAATTTAAAACTGAAGGTTATTTTGTTACCTGAAAAGCGGGATTGGCTGCTGTCCCCAAAAAGCTTCTCGTAGGCAATTTTACTGTCACCGCTGTCTGTTTGTGCCTCTGTGGTTGCACGGTACTCGAGAGTCATCGTAGCTTCTGTATTATGAGCTTGAGTCTGATTAGGGAAAAACAATCATTTCTAGTATCTGAAAAAGTTGCTGAGTTTTACTACAACAGAAAGCTTCTATACAGACGAAAAGAAAATCAACCTTATATTACTTTTTCCGTCAATCTTTCAAGTAAACATTTATTTGTGGATTTCAAAAAGGAAAAACGTTCTTTTTTGTAATGCAACACAGGACATTAATGCAGTATATTGACCTAAACTTTCATAAATGTTCTATAAATACAATAAACAAACCTTACCGCTCCTTTTACAGATGGCTACAGACACAGTGGAAGCAATGTGAAGAAGCACGGAAGGTCAAATCTACCTCCTTTAGCTCACACCTCTGCTTTATGAAATGAAGTTTAAAATGTTCTTTTGCATTTGTGTATTGATGGGAAGGAGTAGAGGGCTGGAAAGTAGGTGGAGCGAGAGCCTCCCTTCTTTCTCTCAGTGAGTCAGAAATAGGGTCAAAGGGTGTTGTGTCAAAAAGCGGAATTTTTCGCCCCGGATACATTCAATTTGAGGCTATCTTTGAGCGACAGTATCTGTGGAACTATTACAGATACAAGCCTGAAAATGTCCCTGTTATTTCTCTTTATGCCACCAATTTAGAATCTGCAATGTTGAACAAGTAGATCAAATAGTCTCTGATTATGGGTGAGTTGAAGTCAAGCACACATTCATAAAAAAGTTCAGAATGCAGAAGTTTACTATAGTGACATTCTCTGGAAGGCATACAGCTGCATGTTACGGTAATACAAAACATGCATCATACGTCTACGTGACGTACTTGATCACAAAAAGGAACTTTCATAACTGATTGTACATACATACATACATACATACATACATACATACATACATACATACATACACACATACATACATACATACATACACACATACATACATACATACATACATACATACATACATACATACATACATACATACATACATACACACATACATACATACATACATACAATATACAAATATATGTTGAAAGTATTACAAATATTAAGCTAAAAATTCACAAATATCTGTATAAATATATTTTATGCTACAAAAAACTCAGGGAAATTAGAAATAATCAAGCAAAAATTGTTCTAAAAATGTGATGATTTAAACAGTTTTTCTTGACTTGGATGAAAAACAACAGTTGTGAAGGAGAGTTGACACTAAGAGACTCCAGCTGCACTTACAGTAGCACAGTACCGATGCAATGATGGTACACCATGTTGATTGTCAGAAAATTCTATAGTGATATTATTTCTTTTCATTTCGTAGCGGATCGACCAGTGTACCCTCTGGTAAAGGAGCAGAGAAATGAAGAAAATTTAAAGAATTCAGCGAGCTCTCATCATGACTGCCACCTCGATATATGCCTACTGGACCACAGCCGTTGTCATCATGCCCTAAGATGTGTTTATTTTTCATTTTAATCAAACACATTTTAAAGATAACCCTTTTGAGAAACTACTCCAAGTTTCTGGTTGTATTAAACACGCGCCTCCTGCCACATCATTAAGCAGCAGCGCTGAAATTTCCCCATGTGACAAGCAAGTTTGCATGAACAGATATGAGGAAGAACCGATTTCACAAAACCCACATTGCTGGCATTGCAGTTTTCATATCAGCATCTGGTGGCAAAATCTGAGTCAGATCAATGGTGCAAGTTTTACAACTGTCTACTAAAAAAACTTGACCGGTCCATCTTTGACATCAAATCAACAAATCAAGTTTTATTACTGAGTCAAAATGCTTTCAACTTTATGTTCAGTAGGAGAGCTTGAGTTCATGAGAAAAGGAGGTGGAGTTGCAATTTTTTCTGTATTTCCTGAGCAAACTGATGACATCTGGCAAAACTACTTCTTCTGAACATGCTGCTCTTCCACTAAATCCACGCCTTTAACTTCTCGAAGTATTGTGCAACCTTTCTATGACTATGTCAAACTGCCATCTATCATTTATATTGACTTTTGATTGTGTAGTTTTTCATTTAAAATCTATCTTTATATGTGTAAGCACTTAAATGTTTCAATATTTGTAATCTGACCAACAAGACATCATTGTCAGGCGTTTCCTGTCTGATATCTGCATGCTCCCACTACCTTAAGTTATTGAAGCAAAATATATTGTCCAGATACTGCATAGATATTAAACATATTAAATGACAATAACTTCACATACACATTATTTACATCCTGTCATATACATCCCAAATACTAATCAAACACAAGTCTCGACAAATGTAAATTCATCGTCCCAAAAAAGAAAATCAAATGTTCCTTAATTAGCTTCTAGACTAGAATGAACTTCTAGTCATTATGATGTCGTGTTTATGGAGGAATGGGTTCAAGCAGTGAGCAGTCTCTAGTTCTCAAAAAGAGTTCAGTTCAGCAGTTTAGTTCATTTCAGTTCATTTAAATTCATTTCAGCACATTTCAGTTCAGTTTTGAGCGCTGTCCATGAGTTTGTGTGAGATGTAAGTGCATTTGTGAGGAGCCAGGAAGAGGCTAGTAGGAGGAATAATGCACTCTATATCAAAACAAACACAAAAAAAAAAAGAAGGAAGCTGGCTGTCTGTTGCATTTCCTCAAGATTAACATGCACTTTGCAAGGTTTAATTTTACTGAACAACAGTTGAGATAAACGGAGGCAGTCCAGCTTAAATACAACACAAGTCAAGACCAGTGGCTTGTTTTTACTGCAGTGAGGGACTGAGTAACCTGATCCAGTCAGCAGGTTCCCATGGACCAGAAAACAGTCGAAATACTGTTCAATCCTGTTTTACTGTATTTACATCTGCTTTTTATTTATTTTCACAGATACTTGTTATTTCACTTTTTTTTTCCTTTTTGAAGTTTTTAAACATTTCAGCATGACATCATTTTTAATGTATCTTTGATGGCACCCTTGCGACCAGATTTTCACAATTTTCATGCAAGATTGTTTTTTTAATTTTATTTTTTTACAGCATATTCTAAATTACGGGAAACATGAGTGTGGCCATCCATAAGAGCTGCACACAGGCCATATATGAACGTATACAGTCAGGGTTTTTGTGTAGTTCTGTTTGCTTCTGACCTCATTAGCTCTGCCCAGTTTGTTATGCAAGCTGAATCTGAGGTTGATTTTCTGCTGAGAGAAAAGTGCTGAACTTGAAAGTTATGAAATGTATCATTGCTTAGTTTTGATATTGTGCAATTAGGTTGAACAACTCCTTTCTTCCAGCAGCTGCTGTGCTTCCGTCCTTGACGGTTCATGAAAAAGTGATTGCTTTCACTATCAAAACAATGCCCAAAAATATCATGTTTAAACAAAAAAAATGTGTTGTGAATAAAGATGATTCTTCACCCGTCACTTTAAATGACACATTCATAAACTGTTTAGAGAGATAGCCCAGATAGTTTGTCCTCTTTGCAACAAAGCCACACAAGATTAAAGAAAAGCACCCCTATAAATTCAGTTTTATTGTACAAGGTTCAACCCAAATAAATATTTAATACACAAAAGCCTGTTACGTCAACAAAACCTAAAACCAAAATCTGAAACCAAATTTCAGCAGAAAACCAAATGCAAATTCAGCATCCTGATAAGGAAAATCAAATGTTTCTAAATAACTAAGAGAAAACCTTTAAATATCTAGACTGTGTCCAATAGACAGATTGTGTATGAGGGAATGTGTTTAGCAGAGGTTGTTTTTTAGAATGACTTCATTTCATTTCAGTTCAGTTTAATGAATTTTAATTCTGTTCAAGACAATGACCCAAAGCATAAAGTCAAAGCTCCACAGAAATGGTTTAAAGGCAACAAGGTGAATGTTCTGGAGTGGCCGAGTCAAAGCTCAGAAATCAGCTTAACTGACAATTTGTGGCTGTGCTTATGCAATCACTTGCTTTCTTTTTTTTATTTTTAATGAACTGCCATGACTTTGTAGAAATCTATTTTCATTTTTGACATAAAAGAGTCATTTTTTTTGTCAATCCTTGTCAAATGCCAAATTCTTGTGATCATGTTGTGTTCCACTGTTTCAGCATTGCCAGATTCTCAGCAAACTGCTACTCGATTATGTAAAAATCTCTCTCCTTCCATCATTTCATGGCAAAATATATGTAAAAACATTATTAAATAATACATATTTTTCCCTTGTTACAAAGGCTAATATGAAAGCAACCCACTGAAGGCCTAGGAGTAAAATGCACGGCCCGCCACTTGTGTAGATAATAGATTAGATATAAAGGTAGTGATATTCCAATGAAGGGCTGCAGGGTGGCGCAGTGGTTAGCACTGTTGCCTCGCAGCAAGAAGGTTGCTGGTTCGCGTCCCGGCACCGGGATCTTTCTATGTGGAGTTTGCATGTTCTCCCCATGCAGCGTGGGTTCTCTCCAGGTTCTCCAGCTTCCTCCCACACAGTCCAAAAACATACTGAGGTTAACTGGTGATTCTAAATTGTCCGTAGGTGTGAATGTGAGTGTGCTTGGTTGTCTGTCTCTAAGTGTAGCCCTGTGATAGACTGGTGACCTGTCCAGGGTGTCCCCTGCCTTCGCCCTAAGTCGGCTGGGATAGACTCCAGCCCCCCCGCGACCCTAATGAGGATTAAGCGGTGTATAGATAATGGATGGATGGATGGATGTACAGATAAATATCTAAAATGTATTTTAAACAAAAAAAAAAAAACCCACTTTATTTAACTTTAAGCAGATCCAATACAGCAACATCTGCATATCAGCAATAATAACACCAACTTCATGGTTCCTATTTATATATTTTTGATAATATAGTATTTATTGCTGTTTTGTGTCCACCTATGGCATTTTATTATGTTGTCATGATGACAAAATGACAACAAAAATACAACATCAGTAAACAGTAATAATAAAAACAGTATGAGTACAGGTTCTTCAGAAATGCATTTATTAGTCACTGAATCAAATAATCAGTTTAGTTATTTGGTTTGATGTAATCATGCACATGGGAAAACTAAACTGTGTAGCAATTGTCACTTGTTAAAAATAGAATCCATTAGCAAATGTCTAATCATTGTCATCATCATTCATTACACTGACAGTTTCTACAATGTGTACAGATATTTATAGAAATCTCCGTCCCCTCTGGACCAGTCATGGTTCCACATTAACAAGGCAGTTTGCTCAAAACAACCTACATCAACCTGTTTCTTCAGCTGTCTGCTAAATTTAACTCCATCAAACATTACTCATCACAATAAAGTCCATTTCGGGCTTCAGCTGTTGGCGGTGGTGTGTGTCACTGTGTGCAAACCGGTCACAAAAACGTGTTGCTGAGTGGTATCTAACCAACGCTTCAGGCCGCTCTGTGCAAGAAAACTACTTCTCACAAATGGAGTATTGTTCATTGTTACAGTTCTCGTCATTCCAATACCCATCCGCTGTTTGACGGTGCCAGATCTCCACGCAGTCCTGGTTCCTCCCATCATAGCTGTTGGGCTGGCCTTTACCCCAGAACCTGCAGAGGGACGGGAGACATCCAGTTTAGATGACATACTGCTTTATCTTTGGTCAAATGAAGCCAGCATTACAAGATATAGAATTGGTTTCATACGCTGTTGTCAGCGGTGTCCCATCCACCCATTTCCACTGCCCTTCCAGTCCTTCATCAGTCAATCCAATCCAGATTTCTCTGTCACTGTTAAACAGGCCTTTAATGAACTCCTGCAAGGAAGAAGACACCAAGTTACTGCAATGCTTTGTCAAACATAGTTATAAATGGGCTGCAGCTGAAGAGGCATTGTAAAACTTCAGAAATAATTTGAGTGAGCCAGTGGAGGATTGAGCAGATACATGTTCCTCAAGACTGGTGGAGACCAAAAACAGAGCTAAAACAGACTACTGAATGTTGTTGAAAATTTGTGAGCTTGCCATGTAAACTTTAAAATGTTGTCAGTGTTGTGTCATCCTCAAACGTAAGAACGAATGAGAACTTTGTGTAGCTGAGGGCAATGACACCATTGGATGAGTCACACCACACATGAAAATATGTTTAGTGCAACTTTAATACAGTACAAGGCCCCCAGATGTATATGGTGACACTTATTCATACAGTAACATTTACATCAAAAATTGCACACACCAATTCTTCTCTGCTGTTTATGATTGCCAGGTCAGCGTCTTTGAGTTTACAGCTTGACCTTGCCGAGGCCCAAGATTTCCTGGCAAAGGAGGGGTAGTAGCAGCTGTATTCAAACTTCCTCCAGCCACTGGGGCATTTCTTGTCTGTGATTGTGAGAAAAATGTTCATCAAGAACTACACACTGAGAGAAAAGTAGTTTCAGACAGCTTTTCCAGGTGAGGAAACATTTTCAGACTTTTTGCGCTTACCTTGAATCGTCACATTCAGTTTGCCAAATTTGTCCACCAGCTCGTCTCTCTCAGCAGTCAGATTGTCGTTTTTCACCTTCAGCAGGTCTCTCTCCGCCGTCACGTTCCTTAAACTGCTCTCAAGCTCATTTTTTTCCCCAAGCAGTGATTTGTAAGAAACCTGCAAGTCATTTTCTGACTTTTTAATTGAGTTATAAGAGGCCTGCAGGGTGTCCTTTTCTGTAGTCAGGTTTTGGTGACTGCTTGCTAGCTTGTCTTTCTCACTGACAGAGACGTTATATCTGTCCTGCAAATTTTCTACTTTCAGGATCAAGTCATTGTAAGTTAACTGCAGCTGCTCTCTGGCCCCGGTTACATTGTTGAACTTGTTCTGTAAGTTGTCCCTTTCTTTGCTCACTGAGTCGTAATTGGTCTGGAGCTCGTTTCTACGTGCAAGAACTGTATCATGCTGTTTTTGTAACTGGCTGTTGGCTGTAATCAAGGCATTTTGGTTCGTCTGCAGCTGGTCTTTAGCGGTTTGTAGCTCTTTTAACTCTTTGTTTAAAGCATCGCTGTTGGTCTGTAGCTGGCTGTGACTGAGTTTCAGTGTGTCTCTTTCCTGAGTTAGTACATCGTTGTTGATCTGTACTACATTGGTCCTTTTAGACCTGTAATCAACTTCTTCCTGTAACCGATTCTGTTTGGATTCCAGATCCCGTTTGTCTTTTTGCACCGTGTTCAGGTTCTTTTGCAGGGCGTCCTTCTCCTGATTCATGGCTTTTAAGTTGTTCTGATGGTCTTGCTCTACTTTTTGATCTGATGAAGAGGAGAGATAAGGCGCGAGTTAACGTGAATACTGATGTGAACATTTGACGGAGAAAACAAACAGGTAGACTCACTGCGGACGTCTTGACCTATGATCGCAACCAGCAGGATGACAGCGAGCAGCCCAAAGCAAACTGTAGCAACCTTGAAAGGGCTGTTTCTCAACACAAAAACTAGAAGACAGCAAGAAAAGCGGAAACAGACACTGAAAATTGATGAAGTGATCCAAGGAACTTAGTTGTTGCAAAATACCAGGCAAAACATTCATTACAAGCAACATGCAACAAAATTAGTTTTATGGTACAAAAATCATCCCAGATAAGAATAACTAAAGCCAAAACTGAGAAACAATCATCCATTTGTGAAGTAATGTCTCAAAAAGTCTAAAAGTCTCAAACTGATTTTTCTTTTAATTCATTTTGATGGCGTGAAATGAACAAAGTGTTGCATTGATCAGGCTGCAACAGGATGTAAAACTGCATTGATTTTTGAGTTTTTTTAAAACAAAAAACAATTTGCTTCGATTAAAAGGTGCATGTGCTGTGTTTGCAGGTTATCCAGCTGCCTCAGAGACACAACATTGTGCCATTCTGATACGATTTCTCTTCTGATTTCTTTTGATAGCTGCAGGAAACATACCTGAATAGCGGAGTTGGCTGTTCTCCCCAAAAAGCTGCTTGTAGGCAATTTTACTGTCTTCAATGTCCATGTTTGTCGCTGTGGAGGCACGGTACTCGACACTCATCTTTACTTCTGCCTTACAAGCTGGAGTATTATTAGTAAAAAAAAAGAACATCAGCGTCCGATAAATGCAGGTCAATTCAAGTCACCATTACTTATACGGCACATTTTAGACAACAGACATTGACCCAAAATCCATTCCAGTAGAGAAATAAATTAACTCTACAAATAAAGAATAACATCTGTTTCTCTGTTGCTGATTTAGAAAAACTTTAAGTAGCACAACACTGGATATTAATTCCAGATATAGACCTAAACTTCCATGAGTGTCAAATATAAATTAAATACACCTTACTGCTCTTTGTAGAGATGATCACAGATGCAGTGTATCAACTGGAAAGACGAAGAAGGCGGCAAAGCCTTATGTTCTCCCCGCAGGTCGCAGCTAAACTTCATGAAATGATGTTTGAAACGTTTCTTTACATTTGTGTCTATAGAAGCAGGAGCAGAGGGTTGGTTAGTAGGTGGTCCTTCCTCATTCAGTTAGTCAGCGGAAGTCAGATCACAGAGCTGACTGGGGAATATTTCACTCAGGATACTCTTGACCCTTTAAGTGGATCTCAGCAATGCTGGTGTGTGCTTTTGGTTTTTGTCAAATAGTCAAAAAATGAGCGCCTATATGTCTCCTTAAACCCTTTTCAACTACCTCGATGGGAGGTCAAGGAAAGATGTGAAGGAGGATTAATGATGATGAAACTACAACCGTAGTGCTGAGAGAATCCGGCTGCACTTACACTAGATTACCAGTTCCTACAGTTAGGAATCTCACAAAGCAAAAAGATTGACCAAGTGCATCCTTTATCATCACAACCTAAGAAGTCTGAGGAATCAGTTTGTGTCTCCAGTTGTCATAAACCTGCCTTCTCTAAGGTCATGATGCCATAAAGGTGATTTCACTGGTTGCATTCTAAGGACTTTTTTTTTTCACTCATCCATTCAACCTTAATTTGAATCTCGAGGAATCATTTGAATTCAAGCCTTCATTTACATTAAAATGAAATGCACTGTTCCTAGAACAGATATGAGGAAGAACACATTTCCCAACAACACACTAATGCCATAAATGCTGGCACTGCAGTTTTCATTTGAGCACAGGGTGACACAAACCTGACTCAGGTCAATCATTTAATTGTCTGTTTCTGTCACTTATGTGGACTTGTGTAGTTTTGTTTTGTTTTTTTCTTGATCTTCTCTAAGCACACAAATGTTTAAACACTTGTAATCAGAGCAACTCAGTATCATTATTTGTCTCTTTTGTTTCAACATTTACATCCTCCCACTACCTTAGATTATGGAAAACAAGGACACGTCCTGTAATTATGCAGAAAACACACAGACATACGAAACAATATCACCAGAAGACTGTGCTGTAGTGGTGAGAATGACAAAATCAACGTGCTGCATCTTTAAGAACGCATCAAGAATGTTATTTCTCAGCAGGATTTAGAGGAACTTCTCTGCATCATCATCTTCATCACACTTGATTACTTTGCAGGCCTCCCTAAAAACTGGACCAGTCATCTGCTGCTGAATCAGAAGTCTTCACTGAACCCAGGAAAGTGAATCACATCAGTTCACTTCCCACAACTTTACTCTGCCTTCCTGTGTGTCAAAGAGTGCATTCATTATTTATGCACCACCAAGAAAACCTGACATCTGCTCCAACCCCCAGTTCTTTGAAATGAGAGCTTTAGACTTTTCGGTTTGCCACTGCCTTTAATTGCATTGAATTTAGGAAAACATTGAAATATTGCACTGTGCTGCTGTATTTTTCACTCTGTTTTTTTCATCTGCCTTGTGCTAATTTAACATATTTCCATCTCATATTTTGTTTCTCTCTTTTTAAAACCTTTTTATGTATTTTCACATTATGCTTTTTGATTTTCATGTCTCATCAAGAGCACTTTGTATCGCATCCTATGTTGTTATCTTATTGTGATCATAGTGAAAATTGCAGTTTTTATTCTTCAGAGCACTGGCTGCAGCAGAAATTTGGCATTGAACCGTGTTTTCAATCATTCATATTCATCTGAGCTTGATGGACATTTTAATTTGATCAAATAATGGAGTAAATCCATTCATGTTTCGTGCTCCCACTCATGCTGTTGCACACAATGTGGGTCCTTTGCAGCTTCACAATTCGCTACATATTTCTGGATCAGAGCAACAGTAACAGGTCTTGTGGGAACAATTCAAGCTGGTTCCAAAGATTTCCAACACCCCGGCGGGTTCCTAACCTGTCACCCGCTCAGCAGCTGCTGCTTAGTCAGGTTCCTGTGTGAACATCACATGCTAATGATAATGTAGCAGTTCAGCATTCTCTATGGAGCTCACGGAGGGGACAGAGCCAGGAAACAGCAGCTGCTGTGAGGAATGATGCTGCGAGAGTGATGCCTTCTCCTCCATTTCCATCATTTCCACAGAGAAAAAAAGAAATCTGAAAATACTGAAACAAGAATCTGCCATTTGGGTTGAATTTAAAGGAAACTTGTGCCCACTTTGATAATATGGAGTGCATTAGCATGATGCAGAGAGGTCATAATTAATAGATACAGTCAGAGTTTGTTGAGGAAGTGCACAGCAGCTGAGCCTGAAAGTGTTTTTTGTATAACTACGCTGGTCTGGATATCTGCCTGTGGCCTTATTAGGTCTCTTCAGTTTGCTTATTTACTGTTGAAACTAAAGTGCTGAGTTTGAAATGTTTCGCAATGTGTAATATTTTAGTTTTAATACGGTTGCAAACGAACCGCAGCACTCTGTCGAACTTGGAAAAATGTCCAAGAATAAATATTCTCCACATACCATAATTAGGTTGGTTTTTGTTAAGTGTCGAAATTACAGTCGCTTCATATTTAACATTTCTCTTTTTGCACTAAACCACATTCTTGATAAAGGCAAATTAAGGTACTAAAGCATAACTAATAATTGTATTTTTTTTTCAAGTTGGTCAGTCTGCAGGAATCTTTTTTTAATGCCTGTATTCTTTGGACACGCTCGTACTTCTCCTACACACCTGCCTCATGAAATCAACGTGCCAGTGTCACTTTGTCTTAAATCAGTTTGTCACGGGATAACTAGGCTGGTTGACCAGAAATGACACTCAGGAGAGATGGAATCAAAAATAAGGTTTATTGTAGAAACTGTTGTAAAGATGAGAATGAAAACGAGGCGGGGTTGTTACCAGTTGTGCGGTGATAGTCCTGGGAGCAATGGAGAAGACTTGGGTTCGATGCAGGTGGGAAGCTCAAAATGTGGATCAGGAACATAAGGAAAAAATCCTCAATGAAGGCGAGGCAGGAGCAGAAGCTCGGAAAGAGGCACGAAGGGAGGCTCGGAGGAAACTCGGAAGAAATACTTGGGTGATGGCTAGAAGTTGCCATGTAGGGCAACACTCAGGCAAAGAGTGAATGTTGAAGGCTCCTCTTATACCGGTGGTGACGACCCAAATGAATTGCAGGTGTGTAGCTCACACACCTGCAGGGAATCAGCCACTGAGAATTCCTCCAGGACGCCCTCTGGTGGACGCCTGGAGGAGAATAAAAACACAGGGCCAAAATCACCATTCCCTGACACAGTTTTGATATTGTGCAGTGAAGTTGTGCAATATCGTTCTTCATCTTTTACTGTTCGTGAAAATTGGTATCTTCTACAACTGCTCAGATCTGGACCCTTTGCAACAGCAGTGTTGATCCACGTTGACCTGCACCACCTCAAGTAGAAGAGCTGGTTGTTCCTTACACATAGACCAACTGTACAACATACACAATAACATGTGAGCTCTTTATTGCTTGGTCATGATAAAAGATCACTGCAGATGTGTAAAGTGATATCGAACACATTGCCTGTTGTCTTCACCTACATGTCCAACGTTATCATCCATGAGGTCATACTAGACACTGTAAACCACACGTTAGGTAAAGAACACAGTGAATCTCGTATTCAACTGAAGCAAAAAGCGATCCCAGGGGAGAATATATTTAAGGTTAACTGAACTAAATTTAAAAGTAGGAATGTTTAAAGACCACCTTCTGTGAAAATCAAGCTTTTTAACTGTCCACTTTTAACACCTACTCACACTTTTGGTGTTTTTTTATATGCAAAAAAACCAAACAAAAAAAAAAAAACATGAGTGAAATAAGCTGGCTGAGCATTTTTATCTAGAAACTCCAGATTAATACGTAGCAAACCAAAGAAACCACTCCTGGCTGAATTACTCCCATATTACAACATGCCATTGTGTAGTGCAGACTAGTTTCACAGTGTTTGAGTAGAGCTGTGGGCAAGCTGGTGTGCTCGAGCTGCAGTAGGTTGGAACAGACGATGGAAGAAAGATGCAGGAACTTCATAGATCGGCACATTCTAGGGGCGCCTCCAAGTGTTGCATTTTATGGAGAAAGAAAAAACTTCTCCCTTCATGTGTAGCCTTGATAAACATGATTTTGTTTTTCTTAAGTTTTATTCAGTGACCAGAGATTAACTTTAATGTCATGATGTGTACGTCAAAGTTCATTTTTTTCAGTGTTAAAAAAAAGTCAGTCTTAGGAACACATCTGGTTTCTCAACAGAAAACAAGCTCCAGTACAGTAAAAACAGACATAGAAGTGATATGTCTTACTGCTGAGTTAGATAACAGAAGAGAGAATAAGAGGAAGAGGAGCCTCCAGACAGAGCTGGAAACAGCAGCTACACCCTTCTAATATCTCACCAGAACAGCTGCGTTATCAAAATCAGTTAAGGTGTCAACAACGGTCACAGACAGACAATAACACCACTGAAAAAGTAATCACTCCATGCAGTATGTACACAACGATACATTAGTTTAGTTAATTTATACACTGATGTACTTTAAATAAATCAACCTGCAGGATTTCAAAGTGCACAAATCCAACAGAACCAACTTCTTTAAAGGGGTAAGGCACTGATTTTACACATCAAACTGCCTTCCAGTCAGGATATCTTGGACTGTTTTAACCTGTCTGCAGTGAGTCTACCAACCGCATAGAAATGTTACATTATGTATACATGTGGCAGTCCTACCGAGATAAAAAGAAAAACACAAAGGCAGACATAACACAAGGACTAATTATAATAAATCAAGCAGATATGGACAATAAATATAAAGGACAATAAATTCTAATAACTTGTTTAACTGTAAACAAAATTTTATAATTCATCCTACATCCACCCAAACGGTCGAGGCAGATGGCCGTCCCTCCCTGAGCCTGGTTCTGTCGGAGGTTTTTTTTCCCCTGCGGGGGTTTTCGGTTCCTTCCCACTGTTGCAGACTGCTTGCGGACTGCTGAAGCTTATAGGGAATCCAAATGTTTTGGATTGTTGGGTGTTTCTGTCTCTGCCTTTGTGAAGCGCTATGAGATGACTTGTTGTTGTAAATATGCGCTATACAAATAAAATTGAATTGAATTGAATATGGCAGCAGAGACAATCACAGACATTATTAAATAGGTTGCTCAACCACCCCTTTAGTACCACAGAGCTACACCGATCATCCACAACATTTAAACAGTGGTAGAAATGTGACGTGAATAATATTGATTATCATAACAATGCAACCTTGGGAAAACCTTGGAAACCTGTGACATGTACCATCCACCTGAAGATTTTTGCGGACCAAGCACACGCCCTCCCAAATGTTTGCAGCAACACATTCCATCACACAAAACTACAAAAACTGCTTACAAAAGGCTCGAGGAACATGATAAAGAGCCCAACATGTTGATATGTCCTCCAGACTCCCCCAAGCCTAACACCATAAGACACCCCTGAACAGAGCTGTTTCGGTGACACTAGGAAAACCATTAAGTAGAGATCGTAGTCAGTGTATAATGTATATCCATTTATCGCAACTGTATGGTCTTATAAGGCAAATTAGATTATAATGAGGTATTTCAAATGCGATAGTTAATGTCAAGTTTACATAAGATTTTAATTTCATGTCATAAAAATTAAGTAAAAACATGAAAGGTCCTGAAACAGAATTTATTAAACTGAGGTGAATTACATTCCTAAAACATACACACATTTTCTGCTTTTTTTTATTTAAGTTTTTTTTTCTTCTTTATATATACACATCAGAATAGTTTAAAAAAAAAAAAATAGAAATGTTGAACAAAACATGTACACATTGTATTTCTGTCATCACACTTTCAAAAAGTCCACCTATCTAAAACACAGAATAGGTGTGTTTTTTTTTTTTTTTAACCTGACACATGTAATCATGTTCCCAGGGCTCCAAACCTACCAGAAGAAATGGTCTTTTGAGCGTTTTCTATGATCACGGTTTGGTTAAGTTTGGGTAACTAAAGTCACAACATCTCAACATTTTGACAAGAAAGCACCAACATGAGCATTTCTTGTCAGGTCAGTCCCTTCAGATTAGCCGTCTGTTCTGTCACTGAAATCAACGCTGTCCATTTGAAATGATTTTGCTGTTGTGCACACTGAGCCTGTAGTGATGATGGCGGACCCTGTAGAAAATCCTTTCCAGTATGGACTGCTTTGCACCGGGTGTGACGTACCCGTTGGTGGCCCCCACACAGTGGAAGCCGAGGCGCTGGTAGAGCTGGTGGGCTGCCGGTGCATAAGCAGTGGTTCCCAGGACAACTGAGGAGTATCCATGAGTGGCCGCAAACTCCAGAACTTTCTGTCCCAACGCAAAACCGATTCCCCACTGTCGATATCTCCGGTCGACGGACATCCGCTGCAGCTCGACTGCACCGCCTAAATCCTGCTGGTTGACTGCTGCTACAACACCCACCACCTTGTCGTCCAGCACTGCTACCCACAGACAGGAGCCTGAGGTCGAGGGCAAGCATGCAACATGAACACAGAATGCAGCAGAAAATGGCAAAAATCATAAATAAACATCATGTCTTGTAAGGGGTCAGGGGTCTCTCTGTTGTGGTGTCTGAGTTGTTGTTGGGTGTTTTTTAGCCCAACAGGGTGAAAAAGTATAAGTTATGTCTCAAGTCAGGAGCCACATCTTTTGAAGGCTGCATCTTTAAATGTAAAAACTGGGTTTCAGCTCAATTAAATAGCCAATGACAGAAATGTGAAAAACGTGTCCCTGGCTCTGTCAAGGTTACCAGTCGCTGTGTGATGCAAGAGTGGGAAGAGCCGCTGATGCAAATATAAAGTAATCCAGACCGTGCAGCCTTCTGATACGGCTTCCTTCAAAGGGTGCAGCCCCTCAATTGAGTCACAGCTGCACTCTGTGATTTTTGTCATCTAGTATATAGTCCATGGTGCTTATGTGTCTATTATCAGGACTTGTTTTGTTGCAGAGAAATCAATTTGTCCAATAACCTTTTACAATTTAACAGTAATATGACATGTATTCTCTCTGGGTTCTCCAGCTTCCTCCCACAAGGTCCAAAAACATGTTGAGGTTAATTGGTGATTCTAAATTGTCCGTAGGTGTGAATGTGAGTGTGCTTGGTTGTCTGTCTCTAAGTGTAGCCCTGTGATAGACTGGTGACTTGTACAGTGTGTTCCCTGCCTTCGCCCTAAGTCAGCTGGGATAGACTCCATTTTTAACAAACTAGGAAAAATCTGTAACATAAGAGTAAGCTATTCCAAAATTTACAATTAAAAATATGATCTTGATTATTTATTTTTACAGTGTATAGTGTAAGCTAATCTTGAGCTATTATTCATGAGATTTTGTTTATCTTAGTGTTTATCTTTTTCTCATCTGTATATCTAACCTAGATTTTGTCGGTGACTTTCAGCCAACAAGACCTACAAAAGCAAAACTGCCTTGTAATAAACGACACAGAATAGTTCAATGGATGTTTTGTTTTTCCACAGACATTGCATTGTCTTCCTTAAGTGTGCTTCAAGGCCTCAGAATCATTAAAGTTAGTCAGATGATTTGCACACAGAAATTCAGGTGAATCTATCATAATTTTGTGAAACATGTCATCATGCAAAAAGTGCTGAGCTTTCACTACACCAGTATGTACATTGCTGTTAGTTATAAGAACCTTGCTGTGTTCAGACTTATTTGTTCATGTGTGTGGGCTTCAACAGGTAACAAAGAGGAATCAAGGTTTTCGTGTGTCTCATGTGTACCTGGTGATTTCATGTAAAACCCCTCGATGTCTCCCATGTCCGTGCTCACGGCTTGCTTCAGGTAACCGAGGATCACATGTCTGCTGCAGAAGTAGCGCGCACAAACCACAATGGCTGGGAGGAGTCCTATCACCCACCAGCACATGGTGACAGCAAAACACAGACCTGCCAGACGAAAGATATGATGCGGTGCGTGAATGTAAACGGATTATAAACACAAGAGAACACAAGAAAGCACAATTGTTTTGAGCGAAACATTATAAAATACAGCCAGCACAAGGAAAAATAAGACACATCTTCACTTCACTTGTACATTACAAATGCAGAAGCAGCAACAAAGAACGATACAGTGGTCTTACCTGTCATAGCAGCATAAAGCAGGAGACTCTCGGGGTGATGTCTCAAACCCCCAAAAGCAGTGTCTGGTACCATCTCCATCAGGCCTTCGGAAAAAATCTGCTGCACCACTGGTTTGTCTGCAGGCTCATATTCACGTATACATACAATCTGTCCATTCTGAGCTTTTACTCCATTGCTATGTTTTTTGTTAACCTTTTTTGGTGCTTTATGTCCCATAACAATTTTTTTATTTTTTTTTTAAGAAACACTAGAAGCAGCTTGCAGAAGATGTAGAGATTGAACAAGTAGCTGTGGAGCGTCTTTAAGTAGACTTCTTCATGTGCTGCAGTGTGAGATAAGAGGGTGACGCTGCTGGAGCTGTTAGAGTATGTGGCTTTGGGGCTGCCTATAGATAAGCAAACGTAAACCCCTTTCCACCCTGGACTTCACTGCATCAGGATCTGGCAGTGAAGGTTGTTGTGTTTCTTTTCTCTTTCGTCAAACTTGGAAGAACTGCAGTGGAGAATTTCGAAAACAAGTTCAGTAGCATCACTGACTCATTGTTACAAGGTTGTTATTTACTCTTTCATTTACAATTTTGATTTAGCTTAAATGCTCTGTTTTGCCGAAGGATACTTTACAATTTATATTGAAAAGTATGTTTTATCCATAAACCTCAAGGTTGCCTACGTAGTCCTTGCAGTTGTGGAGGTCAGATTGAATGAGCAGCTTTTCTAGCTTACGTTTCAAGGATTGCTTTTTTAGTTGTCATTTAATTGCGTTTAGATGTTTTTCTGGTGATATTTCAGAAAATGTGCCAATTTTATTCAAATAATTCTTATTTTGCTGGCAATCTCAGCAGCCAACAGCCAACCACTGAGCTGTCTGCTGTCATTTTGGATGAAGCTGTTTGTCAGTCTGACATTAGGATTTTTACTGGTGATGTGTGCAGCACTCATCATTGCGTCTTGTGAAAAGCCTTGGTGGTTTTCTCCATCTGACAGACGTGACAGGTATATATCACCGGTAAGGTCTTACATCACTTCTATCCCAGACAGGAGCTCAGGGCCACATCAAACTCAATCTAATGACTGCTTTTCACTGCAGCTCCTTCAAATCTGCACTGAGCTCGAAAGATCTGCTTTTTCTGCTTTCATGCACCAACCACCTGAAAGTAACCTAATGATGCATCTTTAAAAACCTGTGATCAGTTTGAATTCATGATCATAAAACATTCAGCTTCTGTTTGTGCCCTTTTCATTGATTTATCGCTCATATCTGGACCTTGTATCCTTCAGTAACTCTATTGGCGTATTGTTTTGATGGATTTTTATTTTTTTTTAACCATTTATCTTGTATTGTTTGTATTCTTTTAAGCCATTTTTAAGTGCAACTCAACAAAATTGTAAATGAGGCCTTGGAAAAATCCTCCAAGTTTGAATAAATAAAAGAAATCTCAGAGTAAACTGTCATCTCTGGAAGTCCTTTGGCACTTCATTCTTGATTTATTGTTAAATAGGTGAACGTAATAATGAATTGTGTTTCGTAAGAATCACATTAATTAAAAATTATTTATTTGCAGCCTTCAGTCTTTTTTTAACTATTTAATATAAATGAAAGAAGATCTCAGAAGTGAACAATATTAGCAGCAGAATGCCATTCTTACATCATTTCTCTCAACTAATTGTGGTTATTTCTTTAGGTACATCCATCCATCCATTATCTATACACCACTTAATCCTCATTAGGGTCGCAGGAGGGCTGGAGCCTATCCCAGCTGACTTAGGGTGAAGGCAGGGGACACCCTGGACAGGATTAAAACTATAGCCAAGATACATAGAATATATTGCAGCAATAGTTATACAAATTATAGAAAAAGGATCAAACTTTAACAAACTGCAGTAAAAATGAGATAATTCATGAACATCAAGTACTGGAGAGCGCATTAAACAACTTCTGGCTTTTCCCACAGTCCCTGAAGTCGTCATATAGTTGTCACATTTACAGAGGTGAGAGACAAGATGGATGCCAAGGTGACAAATGCAACTCAAGCATTTATTTTTAACATAAGAATAGCACTTAACAACTGTGTGGTGCATCTATTGTTTAATCAGTTGTTTTAAATTTATATTCATTAATTATATTCAAATTACTGATCCTAGTAGCATTCTTTTACTTCAACACTTTTTCTTGTTTGTTGTGTTACTTTGAAGGAAGTTCATTGGAGCTAATGTGCTGTTAACCCCCAAACCAGAGGAAGTATGTCTACTGCTGTGGAAAAACCACTGTGACTTTTATAAACTAAAAAAAAAAACACAAGAAATACTTTTTGGGTTGTTGGTAATTTTTTATCTACTCCAATATAAGTTCAGCATTGTCTAATTTGACATGGTGGGGTGCTGGGAACGCATAAACAAGGACCCAAATGCAGACCAATACCAAACAGACAGCATCGATTTTATTGTAGTTTAATGAGGAAAAAAATGAAACTGCGAGTAGCTGTTAGACAGTAGAGCAGGTTCACGGGTGGGTTGGCAAACAAAACCAAAGAACAAAGTCCTGGAAACAAGCAGGAGGTCAAAACAAGACTTGGATGCTCAGCTGGATGCACAAATACAATCTGGCAAAGAGCGAACCTGGAGAGCAGATGAAGGACTCATGAGGAGAGTTAAAGCAGGTGAGCTGAATGTAAAACTGGGCGCAAGTTTAGTAAACCAAAGACGGGAAACAGGAAAAAGATAAAATATATGGAAAGCCAACATGCTACAGAGCTGCACTATGATATTTTCGGAGAATGTTGTGAGTCTTTTTTATCATGTTTATAATATTTGATTGGCAGCCCAGCAGTAAAACACATTTAAACTCATTTACTATATAAACAAACAGCTGAATGTGGCTCTAAACAAAGAAAGGGGAAAATGGAGTAGGAGGGAGCAGCACAAATCCAATTAGAGGCGTATTATTGAATGCTATTGTGTGACTATGAGGTTGATTACAGCTCAATCATATAACCACATCAGACTATATTTAATTGTTAAATTACAATAAACAGAATGAATGAAAGTGTTCAGATAAAAGCAGCTGTAAGGTCAAACTAGGTATGAGATGATCACTGCATTAATTCAACTTTTAATGTTTGCTTTCCACACACACAAACAAGAGAAGAAAAAAAACTACAATTTACAAATTAACAGATGTTTTTTGTTTAAATATTGGTTTGTTGAATGACAAGCATGTGCCAGCTGGAATTTTGTATCTAACTAGAGCCATTTCACAGCAACATTTCCAGGCTGCTTTTGTTACTATCCTGCCCCTGTATTAGTCTTTGGTAAGTCTACGATGTTTTGCATATTATTTCTATTTTTATGTCTTAAATATAGGAGATAGAGATTATCATACTTTTCATTTCAATCAGCCTTAACACAAGGACTGAAACTGGATGGACGTCATGCTAAGAATCTCATCATTGCCTCACATGAACTTATTCGAGACAGAGAACTTCTTAATACAACACTAAACTGAAAATTGCTCAAGAATTAGAAAGACAAACGGCAGCAGCAGGATTTGAATGAGCACAATAAGGAGCAAATACGAACACCAACTGTTTCCATGTTAGCTCGAGGCTTAACACTGAGCCACAAAAGATACTGTTTATGCATGAGCACTACAAAAGGATATCGCTAATGTAACGCAATCATTTTCTCATAATTTCCACTGAATTAAAATAGACAATCTGCAGGCGATAGCAGAAGGTGAGGGGCTGGAGAGGAAGCGGCGAAACTGGCAGGGAGTGACTCACTTGTAGTCCAAGAACTCTCTGAAGGTCTGCTTAGTTCAAACGAATCTGTACTGTACATCAGACAAGAACAAGCATGCCAAATGTGACATGAGGGTGGGATCAGTCGGATCCTATATTTAACTGCGATGACGCTTATTCGTTGTGATGCATGTGAGAGGATAGTCAACGTTGGTGGAAGTGGAGGAAGGCATGAACGAAAGGCTAAAATAGGACTAAGAAGTAAAAAAAAAAAAAAAGATTGAAGCACTGTGAAACTGTTGATGAAGTCACGTTTAAAGCCTCGTTTAGGACTCCAGACTGATTGCAATTCAAAGAAAAACCTGAGCACATGTTGCTGGTATGGTTTGGGTCCACTTGTCCGTTTAGATTGAAGGATTACTGCAAATACAGTGACTATGAAAAAAAGTTTTCACCTCTCTTGGATATTATCCTCTTTTCAATATTAAATCGTGGTTAATTTCATTTTGCTTTTGTGAAAACAATTTACAAAAACGACTCTTTGGTGTCAGAGCAAAAACACATGTCTAGAAAGTAATGCCAGTTGTTTAAAAATCTAAAATGTAAAACAAGCGATTGCATAAATATTCTGGTCCCTTTAGTCAGTGTTCGACATTATTCAGCCTGTTTATATCGGTGTCAATCAGCCTTGCACATCTGGACACTACAATTTTTCATCATTTGTCTTTCAGAACTGTTCTGGCTATGTTCGGTTACATGGAGATCATGAGTAAACAGCCCTTTTTAAGTCCAACCACAATTTTTAGTCTGATTGAGATCTTCTGACTTGGTAACTCCAGAACATTTATCTTGTTGTCTTTTAACTATTTCTGTGTAGCTGCATGCTTTTATGTCACTGTCTTGCTGGCAAACAAATCTTCAACCAAGTTGCAATTCTCTTGCAGGCTGCATCAGGTTGTCCTCCAGGATTTCTTGACACTTTATTGCATTCGCTTTACCCTCTAGCAGAAGCATAACCAAATATGATGATGCCACCACCATGCTTCACGATGGAGACAGTGTGTTTGTGTTTGTTTTACGCTCACCAAATCTCAACCCAGCTGAACACTAATGGGAAATTTTGGTCTCATGTGTAGGACAGAGCTCTCCACCACCACCACCATCAAAACACCAAATAAGGGAATATATGTTGGAAGAATAGTGCTTCATTCCTCTAGTAGAGTTCCAGAGACTTGGAGATTCAATGCCAAGGTGCATTAAAGTTGTTCAGGTGGCACACAATGACTTAACACCCTACTAAGACAATTTATGTTGGTTTTCCCTTTAATTCCCCTTTTTAAAATTCTCTCTGTAGCTTAGATTGATATGAATGACTCTTCAATCCTTCAGAAAAGCTCGTCACAAAAAGACGCTTTCGCCAAAGTGCTTGCTCAAAGGGTATCAATGGATTTGTTGGTTTTCTCTAAGCAATACATCATTG